GGGGCGAAGGGCGACAGTGGTCCACCCACGTAGACTCGGTGAAGAGCCTCTGAACAGCCCAGCCAATCGCAGATACCCTCAGGGGTAGATGCGCAGAGGGCGCCCCAGCTATGGCAAGCCTTCGTAGGCTGGCTATGGCTACCGTCCACGATGAGGGTCTCAGGATGCCGCCTGTAGACAATCACCGCCACCAAACTTCCTTGGCTCCATAACGCTGTATCGCGAAAATGAACTGCCAAAAGTTCGTAACCTACAGGCTCAGTCCTATTAATAGACTAGCCTACTCTAGACCTAGACCTACTGGACCGGTACCGCATCAGTTTGGCCTGTTCGGCCTGGGCCCTACCCGGCTATACGGCGTCTAACCCGTCTCTACAGCCCAAGGCCCAGATGGGCCTGCTGTCCTAGTGATAGCTCGGGTCTGCTAAGGGCCGTAACCGCTAAGGGGAACTCGGGCCCGCAATTTTTGTGTAAATTACAGATATGTTCCTCATGAATTTCCCTCAGGGCTAGACCGGCGGTTAGTCCCTGACACAAACAAAATTATGAATCTGACCCTAAGACGCGACTGTACAACCAAACAGTTAGATCTCGACAGTAGAAATCAGCAAGTCATTGCATGTGTGTGTGTGTGTGTGTGTGTGTGTGTGTGTGTGTGTGTGTGTGTGTGTGTGTGTGTGCCTGTGACGAACCACTTTCTGTAACGCGCGATTTTCTGCGTGGTTGCAATGAGGGGTCCTAAGCTGGGAAGATTGGGCCAATTACGGGAGATCGGGATCGGTGGAGAATTGCATCAGTGTCCTCGCTTTTTCGTCCTTTTTCGTCRCTTCGTGTCGGATGACCGGGTTCGGAGCCAGGTGTGTCTTGGGACGGCCGGTGGATCGATTGGTCGGATGGTTGTTTGGCGCGATGCCACRYGCGCGCGCGATTAATAAATGTTGACGTCGTTTCTTTCGCTTCGGTTCTCGATCTTTTGGGCGCGGACACCGCGCGGGAAATTGCTTTGTTCCTTTTGAATTTTCTTTTGAATCTTTTTCGAATTTTGTCGAGCCCCCGATGGCTCTCRKAATTTCGGACTTTCCTTYTGGAATTCGTGYTTYTTTTTGCTTTTTCGCATTAGATAGGAATTTAGGAATTTAGTAATTAGGATTTTTCCTACCGCRCGRCGCCTTTTGTTTACGCGCTTCTTCATGCGGCTGCAACGGCACTCTGATTAGTGGGCGCCCTTAATCGTGTGTGTAACTGTAATTTTGGGCGGGCGCCATTGTAACTGTATCTTTCTTCTTGCACTTCGTCTTTCCCGCCCTCCCTCTCTCTCTTTCGCTGAAATTTTGTAAGCCGCGGMTTGCATGCTCGGATCGATGCGTGGAGAAGGGTTACGTCCCCCACGCCGCGGCCGATCATGCAGAACGCAGGCGTTCCCTCTCTAATCCTCACTCTAAGTTCTAGTAATTCCGTGTTCTTCGCGCATGCATGCACGCTATAAATTTCGGCTGCGCGATTAGTCAGCTCTCTTAACCCGTTGTTGGAAGCTCGGGGTTGCGCGATCAGGAAGGGTCGGCACACGAGCGAASTAAGAGGTGAGTAGAGCAGGAKTTGGGCGACCCGACGGGCTGGTGCCGAACGCGYGGGATTGACGTGGGCCACGACGGACTGTGGGCACGGGCGAATCCGACGGGTGCGGGAGGACTAAGCGGGGTGACAACTTCGTGGGTTGGTGCGTGACGACGGACTGTCCGCATCGRAGAGAGAGAGAGAGAAGAAGAGAGTTGAGGTCGATGGACGCGGGTTTGCTGTTTTCTTGTCTCTTCCCCCTCTTCRTCTGTGTACATACATTTTGATTGCRGCTCCGGGCGGTTTGCCCGTTCTTATTTTCGTTTCRGCCTTCTGAAATCTGGGCTTGGGTTTTTGCTCACACTTGTCCTTGCGATGTCCGTTTTGCTTGCATTATGTGTATGATTGTCAAATGTATGGATGTATGGATGATAGGACTGCTTGTCTATCTTTTGTTGAGAATCCCTGTCCTTGCGTTATGTCTGTGTCGAATCTTTGCCTGCACCTGATGTCACTAAGAATCTGGCCCCGATAGTGGTTTTGCTCTCATTTTTGCTTATCCCGCGATGGGGGTTGCGATATGATTGCATCTTGCATAATCGACGATCCGAAGTCTGGTCCCGCGAACGCCGCGCAAGAACACGCGTAAACGCGATCCGAGTCGCGCCCTTACACGCATTCCCGTACGTCGATTCGATCACCCAAAAAGGATTCGTGGCGGGACCATCATCCCGTACGAGCACGTTGAGGCGCCACTGAGTTTGCCTGCCCTACACGTGCTCGTGCGCGGTGACGACATCCCGACCCGCGCTATCCCACCGACGATGATACCATGACGCGATCTTGGGGCTCAGACTCATCCTATGACCCGAACTATTTCACCCCTATAATAAACGAGCTCATAAGGACACGATACCCCTGTCACACGGAGAATCGGCTATGTCTGCGGGAATTCCACTGTGCCACCACCAGCGACCCTCGGTGCTCCAATTTCCCTTCCCCCGACCACACATACTACGTCACCCACCCGGGATTCGTTGAGATCACCACCAGTTCCCCTCCTTTCCGCCTCCTTCTCCCGTATCATCAACTCAGTGTCGTTCCGTGGCCGGCCATAGCCCCCTATTGGCCCAATACGTTTTGCATGAACTGCCGACGCAGCAGCGCATAGAGAACTCTGGAATTCCGAAGGCCCAACCCAGGGACGCGGCGGCCTGCGCCACGTGGCGGCCCCCGATGGCCTAACTTTTCAGGACCATCTCCACCACGGAGGAATTTTCCCGTAACGCGTCGCCCACAGTGTCCCGGCCCCTTTGGACTGTGAGACCCTTGCGTGCGCACCCCTCGTTCGCCTAATTGCATCCATACCCTTAAGACTCCCCCACTTCCCCCAAAAATCCTTGGCACACCCCTTTTCGCACTTCGAGGCCCACACTCCACTTCGATCAGGAAGTCGCGCTGGGCGTGAGGTTGGTATCGGAGCCCGACACGTGGCTAGGGTCTTTGGATCGATAGCACGTTAATTAGGCGACCTGGCTAACCGTGGGCGACCTCGCCCTCGGAACGCGCATAGACGCGACCCCATCGTTACCCGAAGCAGATCGGCTAACCGACGAGCAGCCAACATGGCTGCCAATGTGCAGAACCCGGTTCAGCAACAAAATGCTAACCCAAATCAACCCGCCCCGCGTGCCCGAGCTCCCATGACGCCACCTGATCTCTATTTGTTCGATCCTGCACACCATCTCGCCGGAGCATGGCTGGCCACAATTAGAGCCCAACAGTACACCGACAACGAAGCACAGATCAACATTCCGGTTCGAATGGGAGGAGACGCCCATCATTGGTTTAGTACCTATGTATGGGTGGATCTCCCGACCTTCGAATGGGACTTTATGAACCGATTCAATTATGTTCACCCTGAGCAAGCACTATACATGATCAAGGACCGAGTGCAAAAACCTCTCGAATCCGTTGCGGAATATCGAAACTAGTTCTACCGAATGTTCGTAAAAACTGAGCGAGGTGAGCAAGTAGGGAGAGACCTGTTCATCGACGGGCTCCGCAGCCGAACAATCAGGGCGAAGTTGCGAAAGCAATTTTCCCCCATCACTCATACGCTGCAACAAATTATGGCTGCTGCGGAAGAAATGGAACGGAAGTTTGCGGCGAACTTTTTGGAAGGAGAAGACTACCCTAGAGACGGAGATTCGACCGAGCTCGCACGTGCGAGAGCGGAGCTGGCTGCCTTGCAGAATAAATTTGAAAACATGGGGTTTGTATCAGGACCTGTCACCTATATGGAACAGATAGGCCACAAACGAGTAATTCTAAGCGAGACTCCGAGCATCTCTGCTCCTATGATGCCCCCGCCCGTCAGAGCGCTACCCCCCCACCAGTTGAGGCTCCCGCACGAACAAACGAATCGGCGGCCATTTTCGAACTAACCAAAACCTTGATTAGCTTGATCCAAGAAAGCAAAAAGGAGCATCGAGAGCATAATGCTCGGATGGAAGCTATGATGAGGAACATGCGGCCCATTGCGGTACGCGCCCCTCCGATGCAGCAAGGATTAGCCCCGGCATCAGCGCTTGGAGGAGTCGCAAACAATCTGAATGTTTGTTATGCCTGTCATCAGCCAGGACATCTAGCCCGCGACTACCCCCACCGACCCCCGCAACAGCGGATCGGGGTCGCACCTATGGCTGCGGCCCCGATCGCCAACGGGCCTGGACGAGTCGGGGCCCTGATGGAAAAAGTAGAGGGTGGGGAAAGTGCCCTGGCTACCTCGGAAGAGGCCGCCGAGCTAATCCCGCTAGACCAATATGTATCGCTAGGATATCCTGGGCTTGGAATGATCGGAACAATCCGACCAGCACCCGAACTGAAAGAAGTGGCGGAGTGGCGACCGTCCCTAGGAGAAATGGAGTCGGGAGGACCCACCTTCGTCACAGGGGAGATCGATGTATTAAACATCATCCGAGCTTTGGACCATCGGATTCCCCTTCCGATTGGTCATCTGCTCTCGATCTCCGAACAAGCCAACGAGCGAATGTTACAGCATTGCAAAGCGAACCGAAAGCGATTCGCCCTTGCCCGAACCCCGAACGCGAAAGCCAAAAGCCCCGCGCCCGAAGAAAATCCCGCAAGTACTTCGGATCCGATATAGGTAGGTTTAATCCAGAAAGATGATCATTTCCTGCGGATTAAACCAATTCCGTGGAAATCCGCCGAGTGTGATATAGAAATTTGGGGAATTCCTTACAATGCTATTATAGATTCGGGAGCGGCTTTGTTGGCTATCTCACTGAGAGTGGTCGAAAGGGCAGGCAGGAAAAACGACCTGATCATGCTTTCTGAGAAAAATCAGCTCGTTTTGGCTGACGAAGAAAGAATTAAAACCGTAGGAAGAATGACCAATGTCGCTTTCCGATTAGGTAAAGTGCATGCGCTTGGGGATGTCGTAGTTCTAGATGTCAATACGTACGACGTTCTCTTCGGACTTCCCACTCTTGTGGCGTTACGAGCAAACCTGGACTTCGAACGACGATTGATCGTCCTCCGAAATACCGGAGGAAAACCCTACGCTGTGCCCATGCGATTGACCCTTCGCACTACTATTAACACGGTTCCGCGGGTTTCGCCGATGATGGCAGGGACTCTCCGCATGATCTCCTGGAATGAATCCGCAGACGGAAAGTCGTCAACAAAAGATGCAGACAACAGTGACGAGGATGACCCGGAGATCTTGAAACTAGCACGACAACGTGTTTGTTACCCGCCACCCAAAACGATAGCAAGAACGATGCAACTAACCAGCCGAAAAATTCAAAGGACCAAGGCGATGATCTTGGGTGAGCCCCTCGTGCAGATTTCGAGGATGGTCGATTCTTTGGAACCCCCTCAAACTCTGTACGAAGGAATCACCCCTCTCCTCGCCCAGTACAGCGACAAGAAGCATTACTGTGACATTACGGATCTACCCAAGTCCTTACTAACTTCGGCTAAAGAAGTGAGACTGTTACGCTTGGGGGCGGAAGCAAGCTCTCTAGAACCCCCTGGGCGTTTTGAAGCGGAAACAGACGGACTGGGGATAAAGATCGCAACTAAGGAAGTGTCATGGCAGGATGTTTGTGACGGGATTACCTCGGAAGGACACGTGGCAATCCGAGAAGAAGATGCTCAGATGATGGCCACGGTATTCTCCTGGCGATCGGATCATTCATTCATCTCGGCGCCTCCACCCGATTTGACAAAACAGGTGAACACGAAACAGATTGACGTTCGGATCTGGGACCAACTGTTTGAACTGCACGTTCCACAATATGTGCCGGACGAAATCCACCGGGTAATTGCGGATATTCTAACGGAATATCAAGGAGCGATTAGTGTGTCAGACACTGACATTGGGTTATCGTTAGTAATCCAACACGAAATTCAGACAGGAACTCACTCCCCGATTCATTGCAAACCTTATCGCTATTCCTTGATTGAACGCAAGAAGGTTCTCGAACGAATTCGGGAGTTCGAAGCCAGCGGTTGGATTGAACCCGCTACTGGACCTTGGTCCTTTCCCGTAGTGTTAGTACCGAAGAAGAACGAGGCGATTCGCATTTGCATTGATTATCGCAAGCTGAACGAAATCACGATCAAAGATGTGTATCCCCTCCCCCGGATTGATGATCTGTTGGATGCGATTGGATGCACTATTTATTTCAGCAAGTTTGATATTCGGCATGGCTTCCATCATATTCTGGTAAGGGAAGAAGATCGGCCGAAAACGGCCTTTGTGTTGTTTGAGGGTACGTGGCAGTGGGTTCGGTGTCCGATGGGGATTTGCAATGCGCCTGCCACGTTTCAGCGAGCGATGAACATGACGTTCCAGAACTTCGTCAACAAGACACAGCTGACGCAAGGAATGATTAACTTCTGCGTGATCGTGTACATGGACGACATCCTGGTCTATTCGGAAACCTATCACGGACACGCGCAACACATCGAATGGACGTTGGGTGCATTGAGAGATGCTGGGTTCAAGATTGCGCTTAAGAAGAGCGAATTTTTCCTCTCGGAAATTTCGTTCTTGGGCTCTGTCGTGACACGTGGAGGATTGCGGCCAGATTCGAGAAAAGTTGCGGCGGTAAAGGAAGCTCCGATTCCTACGTCACAGACGCAGGTTCGAGCCTTCTTGGGACTGGCGTCGTACTACCGGCGCTTCATCAAGGGCTTTGTCGCGATTGCACGACCACTAATGAATCTGCTACGGAAGGACCAGCCTCTCAGCTGGGACGCGGAGTGCCAGCAGGCCTTTGCAACCCTCAAGGACGCTCTAGCAACGACCCCTATTTTGATTCGACCGGACCCCTCGAAGCAGTTCATTCTCATCACGGACTGGCAACCGGAAGCTATTTCCGCTATTCTAGCGCAGAAGGGGAACGATGGTCGCGAACACGTCATCGAGTATGCGTCACGAACCGTACCGGACGAACGAAGAAACGACTCCGCACCTCAGGGTGAGTGTTATGCGGTAGTTTGGGGAATCCAACACTTCCATCCGTATCTCTACGGACAGAAGTTTCGCCTCATAACGGATCACGAACCTTTGCTGGCGCTGAAGAAACTCACCAACTACACGGGCATGATTGGCCGCTGGGCGGTGCGACTACAAGAATACGACTTCGATATCGTCCATCGAAAGACAGAGCGACACGGCAACACGGACGGGCTGACACGTCTGCATCGACCTGCCAAGGTACCAAAGGGCGAGGAAATTACACCGTGGAAGGAGCTGGACCTGACTAACGAGCCGAAGTACGGACAAGTGGCAGTTCTCCCACGTGGCAAGAAGCAAAACGGTGGCGATGGGTGATGGAGGTAACCCCACTACCCCTCTTTCTCCCCCTTCCTCCTCGTCTCTCCCCTCCCTGCCTGACAAATTTTGCTATTTTTGCGAAACCATCTCCCGCGTCTATTCGGTCTCCATGCGTCCTAACGGGGTGGGATATGCGGATTGGATAGATTGCCGACAGTGTGTTGTACGGGCCCACGACTCGTGCATCCAATACAGGAACGATAGTAAACCATGGTTGTGCCCCTTGTGCCGGACCGACAAAATTCCGACCGAGGCTCACTTTTTGGATGCCACGTCAGAAGGATTGGAAAAGACCCGAAAGTTTAGAAGGGCCGAAGTATAGACGGATATTGCCTTAATTGCCACCCTAGTAGGTAACCCCCTCCAGGATTTCACCAAGGAAGATCGGAGGAGGGCCAACGAAAGGGCTCGGGACTATCGATGGGTAGAAGGTAGATTAGAAAAACGGAAAACGCAGTGGGATTTGGATGGTAGTGCCGCATCCATTCATGCGGTATGACTGGGTTAAGACAACCCACGAAGAAACTGCGGCTCATTTTGCTGTACGAATCACGGAGTCCGCTATCGACAAAAACGAGTGGTACTGGTCCAATATCCGCGACGATGTGAAGTACATCGTCGCCACCTGTCAAGTCTGCGCCGCCGATAAAGCGTTGATTCAGCCGCCAAGGTCGATAGTGCCCACGGTTGTTGAACGACCATTTCAGAGAGTAAGCATGGACACTACCGACAGTGGTGCCCCCTGGCCCTAATAGTTGCGAATATTCAGTCCTATTGGTATTTGTCGACCATTTCTCGAAATGGATCGCAGCGTATCCTTGTCGCACGCGGCAAGCCACGGAAATCGCACGATATGTCAACCGTTTCCTCGAGATGCATCAGGATACGAAAGAAATCCTGACTGACAATGGGGCTGAATTTAGGGGAGAAGTGTTAAGGAATCTGGTCCTACATGGCGTCGCCATACGGAACACTGCACCCCACATGTCACAATCCAATGGGCTGGTCGAAAACGCTAACCGGGTGATAAAGACAGCGTTGCGACGAAAAATCGCGGCACGGGATCCGAGACCCTGGTCCGATATCGTCGATCACATCCTGGCGGTCCATCGCGGAACGCCCCACGAATCGACGTGGCTGAGCCCTTTCCAATTAAGGACCAATAGTGTCGCTTGCGTTTCGATACCAAACCTCCCGGATGAGACTACATTGAACCGACGGCCCACCAGGGCCACGGCTCAGGACAAGGCCAAACGACACCTAGAGTTAATGGAACGGTCGTTGCCCAGGCTAGCCCGAAAGCGACAGAAAATGACCGAACTAGCCCAGGGCCGACAGGTCCGGAGCTACCAGGCCCGAAATGGGAATGCGGGTCCGCGGCCGCAGTACGAATTAGGGGACGTGGTGCAGGTGAGGAAATGTGCTCGCCAGGGTAAGCTAGCGCCACGATTCTTCGGGTGATATCGCGTGATCGAGCTCGGCCCCAACGGCGTGGACACCGTGCGGCTCGCCCCTGAAGTCTCCGGCAGTCGATCGGCTTGTCCGATCACACGCCACGTGTCCTATCTTCGCCTCCTCCCCTCTGCTCCGTCTCCTTCTCCCTCGATCTCTCTCTCTGAGGAAGCCAAAAATGACGACTCTAGCTCTCCGCCATCTCCCTCGTCCTCTTGCTCCCCATCTGCCTCCCCATCACCTTCGCCATCGCCATGAGTTTTCTGAAGGAAAGAGCCCTCAGCACAGCATCGCTTGCTCCCCGAGATCGATTGACGATCCGGCAAGTCCATCATCCTCGCCTCAGTCCAGACCTTCGGAGGCTTGCGCACTTCTTCTGCACGGAAGGCGTGTATGCAGCGGCGGTGTTCAGGATTGAAGGTCGTCCTGACGCGGTGGTACTGGCCCAGGCGGTAGCAGCTCATCAGTGGGCGGTGCCAGGTGTCAGTCGCATATCGATCGTCATCAATTTCAGTGGCGATCTATCCACACTTCTTCCTTTGCGACATTCAGCGGTGAAGGCGTCGCTGCGCATGTGGGCGAACGATCCGGTCGCCGAGTGGACTCAGCTGCTGGCTCGCCCCGAGGATACAATCGCAACGTCATGAGCAATCGAATACGACGGCCTTCGGATGTACCAGCGCGATCTGCCGACAGAGCTCCCCGTCCTCGTACCCTTCCCCCATCCCGATGAGTCTCTCTCCGATCTCCGTTTTTGATCTCCCCTCCACTTTCCCCACCTTCTGGCAGTCCGATATCCATCCTCGCCTTTCCTACTGTCTAAAGCCCCTTGCTGTCCCCGATATCCATCCTCCCCATTGGGCCCTGTGGCGCGAAGACTTCATCGAGCTTTCATTGTGCTTGGTTGAGGTACGGCTGACGTGGATCGAGGACGAAGCACACCCGCCTTGCGTAGAGTGCCTAGAGTTGCTGTTCATCTAGGCCTGGCGAACCAACGTGGAGGGAGAGCTTCTCGCGTTTCTATTCGGTACGGTGCGGCCCGGTCATCAGGATCTCATCACGAAAGAGCTCACGATCCCGGTAGCACAGCTGGCGGACGATCTCCCTCTCGACATCATCTCGCAAGACGACGAGCATCCAGTTCCCCACGTACTTTCTCGCACATTGACACCTTATCTTCAGTGGTCGGCTTGTGTAGAGGGGGCCGCAGAGCGCATCCCGTCGTCGCAGCAACAATATCTGGATCCCCGGACGGCTCGCGATCCTGCCTTCTTCAGGCATCCTACGGCGAAGCAGCTTGCGGCCATTCGAGAAGAAGAGGAAGAGGAAGAGAGTACCGGGAGTGACGAAGACGACGACGGACTGGAAGAAGGCGGGAACAGCGACGAAGAGCTCGGGGAAGAAGACGAAACCCCCGAAGAAGGAAGCTATAGCGAGCATAGCAAGGGGGAACAGAGCGAAGAAGAAGAAGAAAGCGAGGAAGGAGAAGAGGAGCACGACGAAGAGCCTGTTGGATCGGAGTGGGAAGCCGTGCCAGAAGAAGCGCTGCGTACGGGTACGGAGGCTGAGGATCCCGAGGCGGCCCGCAAAAGAGAAGAGATCGCGACCGGGAAGAAGGAGTTGGAATTCGCAAGCGCGGCGAGTCTGCGCACCCTCGACGACCCAAGCCGGGATCCGAAGCTGCCCCGGCCTGAAGATGGCGACCTCACAGCCACGACTCCGACCCCATCTGCGCGGCGACGGAGCCGATCCCCCTCCTCCTCAACCCGTCCCCCAATTCGCCGACGTACCGATACGGGCAATCGGCCTTCGTGCCCGATCACTCTCTCGCCGTCCCCTTGACTACCTCACCCTCCGCCAGCTCACCACCCCCATCACGTTCCCCTCCAATCCGTTTCCCCGCGACACCTTCCGCCACTTCTACGCTGCTCGCCCCACTATAGTGGTGCACCCCCACCCCTTCATTCGATGCGCCGTCCCAGCCTTTTGCCTCCATATCCTGCTCCTTAGTGCCGCGTGGCGAGGCCACAACATGATCGAGGTTTACTGCGTGGTAACGGGGACCGTCCCCGCATGCGATGATCGCGATCGTTTCCGCGCGGCACTCTTCCGGACTCTCTCTACCCTCTATCCGGATTATCTCGCGTCCCTCCCTCGCACTAGCAATCGCTTCCCCCGCTTTCACCGCATTGTTCGTTACCAAGAGCTCCCGGAGACTGTAGCCGGAATGGAAAGTCTCCTGCCCCCATTACCCATAAACCCTCCACCCCGCCATGCTGCCATGCACCGGCTCCCTTTTCCCCTCCCGGTTAATTACTGATGCAGCAGGAAATGGATGCGTGTCGCGGCAACGGCACGAGAAAGATCCCGCCCTTGAATCATCGAGGAGCCCAATCTGAGGAACTAGTAGAAGAGCAGTGTTGCCACGTTGGATGACGCCCACACGCAGTTGAACGGTAAGTGGCATAGAAGGAAGTGCTCCGCGTGTCGATCAATTAGAGAAATCGACACGTGTCAACAAGCAAGCAGGAGATTGCTAATATTGGAACCCCCTGGGCGTCACATATGTGACGAACCACTTTCTGTAACGCGCGATTTTCTGCGCGGTTGCAATGAGGGGTCCTAAGCTGGGAAGATTGGGCCAATTACGGGAGATCGGGATCGGTGGAGAATTGCATCAGTGTCCTCGCTTTTTCGTCCTTTTTCGTCRCTTCGTGTCGGATGACCGGGTTCGGAGCCAGGTGTGTCTTGGGACGGCCGGTGGATCGATTGGTCGGATGGTTGTTTGGCGCGATGCCACRYGCGCGCGCGATTAATAAATGTTGACGTCGTTTCTTTCGCTTCGGTTCTCGATCTTTTGGGCGCGGACACCGCGCGGGAAATTGCTTTGTTCCTTTTGAATTTTCTTTTGAATCTTTTTCGAATTTTGTCGAGCCCCCGATGGCTCTCRKAATTTCGGACTTTCCTTYTGGAATTCGTGYTTYTTTTTGCTTTTTCGCATTAGATAGGAATTTAGGAATTTAGTAATTAGGATTTTTCCTACCGCRCGRCGCCTTTTGTTTACGCGCTTCTTCATGCGGCTGCAACGGCACTCTGATTAGTGGGCGCCCTTAATCGTGTGTGTAACTGTAATTTTGGGCGGGCGCCATTGTAACTGTATCTTTCTTCTTGCACTTCGTCTTTCCCGCCCTCCCTCTCTCTCTTTCGCTGAAATTTTGTAAGCCGCGGMTTGCATGCTCGGATCGATGCGTGGAGAAGGGTTACGTCCCCCACGCCGCGGCCGATCATGCAGAACGCAGGCGTTCCCTCTCTAATCCTCACTCTAAGTTCTAGTAATTCCGTGTTCTTCGCGCATGCATGCACGCTATAAATTTCGGCTGCGCGATTAGTCAGCTCTCTTAACCCGTTGTTGGAAGCTCGGGGTTGCGCGATCAGGAAGGGTCGGCACACGAGCGAASTAAGAGGTGAGTAGAGCAGGAKTTGGGCGACCCGACGGGCTGGTGCCGAACGCGYGGGATTGACGTGGGCCACGACGGACTGTGGGCACGGGCGAATCCGACGGGTGCGGGAGGACTAAGCGGGGTGACAACTTCGTGGGTTGGTGCGTGACGACGGACTGTCCGCATCGRAGAGAGAGAGAGAGAAGAAGAGAGTTGAGGTCGATGGACGCGGGTTTGCTGTTTTCTTGTCTCTTCCCCCTCTTCRTCTGTGTACATACATTTTGATTGCRGCTCCGGGCGGTTTGCCCGTTCTTATTTTCGTTTCRGCCTTCTGAAATCTGGGCTTGGGTTTTTGCTCACACTTGTCCTTGCGATGTCCGTTTTGCTTGCATTATGTGTATGATTGTCAAATGTATGGATGTATGGATGATAGGACTGCTTGTCTATCTTTTGTTGAGAATCCTTGTCCTTTCGTTATGTCTGTGTCGAATCTTTGCCTGCACCTGATGTCACTAAGAATCTGGCCCCGATAGTGGTTTTGTTCTCATTTTTGCTTATCCCTTGCATAATCGACGATCCGAAGTCTGGTCCCGCGAACGCCGCGCAAGAACACGCGTAAACGCGATCCGAGTCGCGCCCTTACACGCATTCCCGTCGATTTGATCACCCAAAAAGGATTCGTGGCGGGACCATCATCCCGTACGAGCACGTTGAGGCGCCACTGAGTCTGCCTGCCCTACACGTGCTCGTGCGCGGCGACGACATCCCGACCCGCGCTATCCCACCGACGATGATACCATGACGCGATCTTGGGGCTCAGACTCATCCTATGACCCGGACTATTTCACCCCTATAATAAACGAGCTCACAAGGACACGATACCCCTGTCACACGAAGAATCGGCTATGTCCGCGGGAATTCCACTGTGCCACCACCAGCGACCCTCGGTGCTCCGATTTCCCTTCCCCCGACCACACCTACTACTTCACCCACCCGGGATTCGTTGAGATCACCACTAGTTTCCCTCCTTTCCGCCTCCTTCTCCCGTAGCATCAACTCAATGTCGTTCCGTGGCCGGCCATAGCCCCCTATTGGCCCAATACGTTTTGCGTGAACTGCCGACGCAGCGGCGCACAGAGAACTCCGGAATTCCGAAGGCCCAACCCAGGGACGCAGCGGCCTGCGCCACGTGGCTGCCCCCGACGGCCTAACTTTTCAGGACCATCTCCACCACAGAGGAATTTTCCCGTAACCCGTCGCCCACAGTGTCCCGGCCCCTTTGGATTGTGAAACCCTTGCGTGCGCACTCGTTCGCCTAATTGCATCCATACCCTTAAGACTCCCCCACTTCCCCCAAAAATCCTTGGCACACCCCTTTTCGCACTTCCAGGCCCAAACTCCACTCCGATCAGGAAGTCGTGCTGGGCGTGAGGTTTGGGCGTCACATACGCGCGCACACATTTTCCCTTCATTTTTTCCCCTTTTTTTGTTTCTTTTTCATTTCTTTTTTGTTCCCCCCCCCCCTTTTTTTTTCCCTTCTCTTTGTTTTCTTTCCCTTTTTATTACTTTTTCGGGGCCAGGGTGTGCCAGAGCCCCTAACAGACCCCCAACGACCCCTTCGCACCCC